ATAACAACACACTACTAAAAACGCAAAGGGTCATGGGCAGACGCTTGTTTGTAAACAATGACACGATATGGCTATCTTGACGCATGCGCAGGTGACGACACCCCCCTTTAAACCTGAGCGATTTGTGAATCGTCGTGTTAAAATATGAAAAGTATGCAAATTTAGCACTTGAAGTCAAGATATCATGTACCGATGAGTTGGACACATACATTTAACGACCATTCGGTTAACAGTATCATCGTATACATTTTTCAAAAACGAAGTTGAATCAACCACAATGATATACGTGAGATTGTGAAACCTGACACAGTCCGCCATTTAAAGAAAAAAAAACTCGAGGTTTTATTTTGCATAATCAATAAAACGGCACCGTTTAAAATGCTTTAGGATACTTTACTTTAGGTGGATTTAATATTCGCTAAAACGACGTTTTGGCTGTTTCGTATAAATTTTATTTTCAATGATTTTTAATGAGTTGAATGTGAAATATAGGAGAAAAAAGTATTTTAACTGATTCATCTATTCGGCGAAAAGGAAGTACTTTACATTACATGCTAGGAATTGCATCGCGTTGTAAAACCGGTATAATTCACATATGTTGGCCAAGTGCATTTATGATTGTGCCTTCAGGTGGGTTTCTCGAGAAAATGTAGTGTTTTTGACGGTTAACTCAAACAGTCGAGTGACGGACTACACTGCATATATTTCATAGCAAAACATTGTGGGCGATCTACCTAGATAACCTTTGAAATTAGTATGACTTGTAATTCTCTCGTCTCAATTCACAAGTTTGAGCACAAATACACAACTCCGCACAGTTCGATACGCGTTACTTATATTGCGTAAAGCGCAAAGACCTATGGGTAGGAGATGGTTACCTGCGTCCTACTCGCCTACTCAGGCCTACGTGTCAGGCTATCAAGGAGTCGACTGTTTACGTGCTGTAGCCTATCGCCCTCTGTCGTTGAAACTGCCAGTCGTCGTACGTTTATTGCTATCTGGTAAACCTCAGACCACCATTGGTGAGCGAACACTACACAGAGATCGTACAAGCGTCACACGGTGTATCAACTTGAAGGCTCTGGGCACAACATCGGGTTTTATATCCTTCGACGACGACACAATTTGAAGAAATAATAAGAACAAATTAGGTAAAAGCAATATATCGCGTAGTCAATGCTCCGAATACAACTTACATCTTGGAATGCGTTCTAAAATGGCAAATTACACATTTTCATCTAAAATAATTGTGCTCAAAATAAATGCCATCATTGCACATTTGTGAACGTCAAAAACAGGATTTCACTAGAACAGCGCCCCCTCAAGTTGGACACGACCGCCGTAATGATAACAGGAATCTACGTTGCATCTTATTTGGTCCGCTGCTGAATATTCATAAATTGAATTTGACGCGTTAGATCGGAAGACTGTGCAGATATCGGAAATACGTAGACCGTATACACAAATGCCTGCCGAGATGTCTTTGAAAATGAAGGATTAACGATACATGTTGTTGCTTCATATTGTCCCATTCCCTGCCGCGTCCACTATTTCAAATATCGTGGTTACGTTACTCAAGAAAACCGTGACAGTGGGTGCAAACAGACAGAAGTACCACTGCTCTTTCGCTCCTAAGCTATCATTTAGCCAATTACATTTAGTTAATTACAGCAACACTTCACCACGTTTTGCATAATGTGGGCATCTCTATGCAATATCAAAATAACATTTTCTTATTTCCTCCATCCATTCATTCATTCATTCGAATGTTATAATAAGAGACTAATTTAGTCATACTACAATTATAAGCCATACTTTCCCAAATGTATACATTAGGTAGTAGCAAAATTACAAAAAGACAGCACGAAGTCTAAATTTAACATTATTTGCTGTCCACTACACTGGACGTTTATTTTCAGAGAGAAAAATATATGAATACAGTGGATTGATAAACTGTAACAAGAATAAGCGCTTCTCTACTGTTGCCTCTTCATAAAAAATATGATACATATTTGGCTCTTAGATTATTATGAAATGTTATTGAACTTATTATCTGTATATGCAATTAGCTGATTCGTTGATAACTTCGTTCGATATACCGAAGCTGTAAATAACACACCTATAACTGCACATGCGTATGGACAAACAATCTTTCGATTGTTAAACGGATAACGAAATTCTGTCTGAAGTTTCAATCTGCGAAACACTCTCACAACAAACTCATACTCATTTTGCTGTGTGTCGACCCTATATTCGCCCTGGGATCAATATGTCGTAAAACACCCTGAGAGTACACTACATTCTGATTAACTGAAGAATAAGGGCAAAATCTCGATTTACATACAAGATTACTCTCGTGTCATTAACAATCCAGACATGATGTCATATGTGACGTCAGCCTACGTGACCTAATCACAAATCGTGTGATGTTTAGCTGAATTATATGGCTTTAGATTAGGGGTGGAATATGTGACTCCGATGTCGAAATAAATTACGTCATTATACGTGCAAGGTTAGACTGTTAGGTTTATTTCGCATTCTATCAAATTATATTTATTCAAAAAAACAAAAACCGCGACGTTTTCTAATTATGTTGGTGTAGTAAAATATTGAATTCTCCGCAATAGAAATTTCTGAAGGTTAATCACAAAACTATGAATAAAAACCCTGGATCTGGTCTTACAAAATAATAAGTAAATTAAATCGTTAACCCTTTTTTCCCGGGTTACGATTATCGTCTCTTGTATATTGAAATCATACGCAATGCTAAGCTGTACCATAGACCCTCTTTTAGAGGGTCTATGGCTGTACCTGGAAATTGAATGCATTCACCGGCTACTGATATACTTAGACTCAGCGTGGGACGCGTGTGGAAAAAAAACCTCGTAGTAAATCCTTGCCGGCCCCATGTAAACGCCGGTTTGTTGGAAACGCGTATGAAATAATAATGACTTCACGGGACAGGATATGTGTCCAGCATATGCATTGTATTTGGTAATAGGTCGGCGTGTTTCTAAAAGCAGTTTAAACATAAATGATGCTAGTATATTTACCGCCCCCCCCCCCTCCGAATCTTCTTTTCCACAGCTCAAATGATGGACGATGTATTTATTTATACAATCATGTCAAATTGATCGATTTTTCGTAGACTTTCAAATAATCAGAAAAGCAGAAGGATAATAATCAAACGCAGTAGTATTATAGAAATGTGGATTGCACAGGGATCAAACGTCAAACGAGAAAAATGCTATCGTTTTGAAATTTGATTAGGTATACCTAGTACATATTGCCATCTACCGTACACAAAGAGAGCGGAGTTCACAGTTGGCGTAGCAGCACAAAGTGGATGTCTTTTGTATTTTATATCAACATTTCAACATATGAATCCGATCATTTGGCAGCAATCAAGATAAAAGCTAATACCGGTAAAAAATACATCGAAAATGTTACATCTTATTATTATCGACCACGAGGCTATTTATGACTGCGGTGTAGTGAAACTGAAATGGTTCGGCCCATATTTGACTTAACCAATCAGCAACGTCAACCATATTGATGCGCATCCGTTTCCCCGCCGTTTCCCTGATAACAACGGCAGTATAAGTACGAGGACCGTTCGTAAAGACGAACAGTTAATGCTCTCACAATCGACTCGATTACGTCCACCGTGAGCTTATTCTTCCAAGACCTACCGTACACACACAGAATACATTTTTACATCATTATCGAAAATGGTGAGTAATATTTCAACTTATTTTCCTATTTTTTTCAGAAGTAGTTTAACAAGTTTGTTTCCTCCAACTATTGGTTGCTATATTCATTTGTTTCACGTGCGTGGTTATTGTGAGAGCTCGGTCGGTGTCACAGTTGATAGTGATAAACGTACTGCCATTAAGTATGACTCATTCCCGCATCGATCGGGGTAGGTTGCATAAATTAAACGTACGCACATGGGTGGGGCTGATTTATACTTCAATTTATTCTACTAACCCGCGTTTGCATACACGTGTGTATTACGTCAGCTGTTTTTAATTGTATTTTACTATTTTTCGAAATAAATTTGTGACGGCAATAATCGGTAACGGTAGCAGGTAATATAATATGAATAATCTTAATTAGAATTGATTGCTCGCATGATTGTATTGATTGATTACTTGACCTTTAATAGCGATAAATCCAATCACGTGATATATTATATAAATGTGCACGTCTTCAGTATAAATTTTCTATTGCGATATTGTTTCTGAACCGACTATAGCTAATCGGTAAAGGTTGCGTGTTTAACACTTAGGCGCTGCGCAGCACGGAAGCGAAACAGGTCGGGAAATGCACACGGATCTGTCGATTATTCATTCCATTATATGAAGCATACAGATCATTTTAAATTCAGGAATACACCTACTTAAAATAATGCGATGCATAATTTGTCGATGTACGCAAACTCGAATTATTCGTATTAAATATTAATAAATGTGTACATTTTAGAAAGCTTTCACAAAAGTGAAATTATCTGAACAATAAACGTGAATTACTATGCTTAGAATTAATTGAACGTTAACTCCTGACGATAAATTTACCGTACATCTTAACATATCAAAGCGCACATAGACGAAAACACGTTCTAACTGATAATAACAAATAATACTATCCCGAAACATGTTATTGAGCCGGTTTCAGATTTCCCCCGGAAACCGGGTTCCACCTGCTCATTATGAAAATAATATTACTGAATGATGGTGGTGCACATAATATTGACCCGTGTAACATTTACTGATGTCATGACAACGGGAACCTTATTCTACGACAGGATACACGAGCTTGCAGTTTTAGTCAAAGCCTTTCCGTTTCAGCATTACTAATGTATGTGTTCACCAAATATATTACCGAGATTCGAATGAGGAATCTCCGTTTGAGGCCCCGAGAGGGAATTAGAAAAGGAAATTTCCAGACAGAAGAGAGTAGAGTTGCAAAAAACAGCGAAATGCTTAGAAATTAAGAACAAGCAATTAAATGAACTAATTACATCGTAATTATATATAAATAATTAACACAGTCGATAGATTACGTAATCGACAACTACGGTTTCATTGTCGTTTTCATGGTGATTTTAAACTCTTTAGTGTATACATAGAAACTGACTGGTTTTCATGCAATTCAATTTCTGTATTCTAAATTCTTATCAGGATTACTGGCACATTGAATCCCCACAGTCGTCACAACATAAAGTTCAAACGCGCGCTGCTTGACGACAGTGGCGCCTGCGTGAAGACTCTAATGCGCTGCGTGACGATTTTGGCGCTTTAGCGCGCGATGGTCGTGGCGCCACACGTACGCCAAATTTAGATTGATGAACGTACTATTTTCCCACAACTCACCGCGCCCCTCCAGCAAGTACGCGTGCGAGTTGGGATCTGGGAGAATTGCACGCAGTGCTAAGGCCAGACTTTTATTATCCCTTGTTTCGCGAACCCGCCGAATGAACAGGAGCCGAAAATGAAATAAAAATAAAATTTTATTTCAGCGTAATTTCTCGCGCCTGCCGACTTGTAAGTGCACTTACAATTCTTTGAGAATTACACAAATCTAATGGCAAAAAAGAATTAATTTTATTTATTTTCCGCCCTCCTCAAAAAATTGCCTTATGAAAATTCGAGAAACAAGGAATAAAAAAAGTCTGGCCTAACGTAGGGTAAAGAATACGCAGCAGATAGCAATTGACTTTTATATGAATGTTGGTACCGTCTCTTTGCTCATACACTCTTGCTAATCTGCGCAACACTCGAAATTGTTGTGCGGATGTGTGTGCATTTCATTATGATAAATGTGATCAACAATCTCGTTCTTATGGAACCCATTATTTGACGAACGCAACCGACGCCATCTAAAGATGTAATATGGACGAAATATTGTTGTTTGATACTGCATGTTGATGACCAGATTGGATTATGATTCATGGTCAATAAAGATGCATCGTTCGCAGCACAATGTATAAAAAAACACTAATACGCATGCGCAGTTACTGTACTAAAACAGTCATACACATGCGCATTGAGCGAATACTCAGCTCCGTGATGCAATAACGACGTTTATAGTTCAAGATAAATAAATAATTCAATTATTCATCGCCAAATAGTAACAAACAACAATGTTCTCGTCCACACTGGCGGATCCAGAAATTCGGTAAGGAGGCGCTTCTATTGACGTGGGCTGGGTCTGTCAATTGATTTGTCTTTTTTTTTGCGGGCTGAAGGAGGGCGCGCCTCCCCCTAAATCCGCTCGTGGTCCGTGTTGTATCTTTAAAATGCATGTCTAAAACGACCATCTGACATCACTGATCATGTCGGTAAAAATTGAATTGGATAATATAATATGAGGTAATATTAAAAAAGTGTCCGTCAATTACTTGTTTAAATTCACCACTTTCATTTTAATGATCAAATATTCAATGGCAAATTTCAGTACCCGAAATTATGATGATGTGTTTCCTTCTTTCACAGCGTGAATGTATATCAATCCACGTCGGACAGGCTGGTGTCCAAATCGGCAATGCATGCTGGGAATTGTACTGTCTGGAACACGGTATCCAGCCTGATGGCCAGATGCCAAGTGACAAGACCATTGGTGGCGGTGACGATTCTTTCAATACTTTCTTCAGTGAGACTGGAGCTGGGAAACACGTGCCACGTGCAGTGTTTGTAGATCTGGAACCTACAGTAGTGGGTAGGTAGTACTTATATTTTATAAAATATATTCTGCATATTAAAAACATACGCAGAAAGATATTTATTGTTGTTCTAAAATTCATCAACAGATGAAGTACGGACTGGTACATACCGTCAACTGTTCCACCCAGAACAACTGATCACTGGTAAAGAAGATGCCGCCAACAACTACGCACGTGGCCACTACACCATTGGGAAAGAAATCATCGATCTGGTGTTGGACAGAGTACGAAAACTAGCTGACCAGTGTACCGGTTTACAAGGGTTCTTAGTCTTCCACAGCTTCGGTGGTGGCACTGGGTCCGGTTTTACTTCGCTTTTGATGGAACGTCTGTCTGTTGACTATGGCAAGAAGTCGAAGCTTGAGTTTGCCGTTTATCCAGCCCCACAAGTGTCGACAGCGGTTGTCGAACCATATAATTCAATCCTGACAACCCACACAACCCTGGAGCATTCAGACTGTGCTTTCATGGTCGACAACGAGGCCATCTACGATATATGTCGTCGGAATTTGGACATAGAACGTCCAACCTACACCAATCTCAACCGTCTGATTGGTCAAATCGTCTCTTCCATTACTGCTTCCCTGCGTTTTGATGGCGCCCTTAATGTCGATTTGACTGAGTTTCAGACCAATTTAGTACCCTATCCACGTATTCACTTCCCGTTGGCTACATATGCCCCTGTGATTTCTGCTGAGAAGGCCTACCACGAGCAGTTGTCCGTTTCTGAGATCACCAACGCCTGCTTCGAGCCAGCCAACCAGATGGTGAAATGCGATCCACGTCACGGCAAGTACATGGCTTGCTGTCTTTTATTCCGTGGGGATGTCGTACCAAAAGATGTCAACGCAGCCATCGCTACGATCAAGACCAAACGTACAATCCAGTTTGTCGACTGGTGCCCAACTGGTTTCAAAGTTGGTATCAACTACCAACCACCAACCGTTGTTCCCGGTGGTGACTTGGCTAAAGTACAACGCGCCGTCTGCATGTTGAGCAACACCACAGCCATCGCCGAGGCCTGGCTCGTCTCGACCACAAATTCGACTTGATGTACGCTAAGCGTGCTTTCGTCCACT